CGCCTCCGGCCCTCCGTTTCCTTTCCAGGAACAGCCTTGCGAGCGAAGCTGTCAAGCGAAGGGTCCCTCCTGCGGCTTCCTGGACTCGCGAGAGGGAAGCAGGCGCGGTGAACCTCAGCGGACGAAGGAGCTGTTTCTGTGGCAACTGCCGTGCAAGGACGGCAGCCTTAGAGGAGGGAGGAAGCGACTCTCTCGTAGGTTAGTGTCTTCTCGGCTCCTCGCAGACCGGGGTGTGATTTTCAGGGGGAGGAAGAAGCGGCGTGGTGGGAAAAAAGAAGCTACGCGGGGTCAGAGGATCGTGCTGCTTCCTACAGGCAAAGCCAAGTCAGAGCCCAGGCCTCACACTCCGTTGTTAATTTGTTTATTAGATTTTATTAGTAGAAGCCAGTGGAGAAAGAGCACGGATTTCAGTTGCCCTCTCTTTTTCACAGTAGACAGCAAGCACAGAGGCCCAGTGGTATTGGGATAAAAGAGGAATAGGAAGAGTTCTCTGTTCCCCACCCAAGTTTCCAGTCTGGGATTTCATTTTGGCAGTTTGTCCTCAAGGGTAGACTTTTGCAGCAAGGTCATTCATAGGTTGTTGTTGTTGTTATTATTATTATTATTAAAAATCTGGTCTCCATCTCTATGCTTTTGAGGGCCAAGGTAGATGTCATCCGCAGATGTGATCAGCTTTTCAAAAGTGAACAGCAAGTGTGGGAGGTCCAGTCCACTTTGGAGCACTGGTGGGGCCCTCTATCCCCACCATCTGGATTGGGCCTTGCTATTTGCTTTGAAAAGACCATTATTGCAATTGCTCTTTGCGTTAATAGCTTCTCTTCCAAGTTGACCCTAAGGTTCTGCCACATTTCCAGTTATAAGACAGTACCATTTTTATTTCCTTTCAGTTTTATAACACAAGAATAAATTAAGCAGTCTATGTACATTATGAACCCATTGATTGGGCTGTTTTTTTCCTTAATGCCAAAAATGATCCCGTGGCTGTGGAAAAGCCTGAAGAACATCATCAGCTATAACAACCCACCTCTCCTGATTGAAGAGGGTCATCAATTGGCAGATGATCTCAATAGGTTTTATTGGAGGTTTGAGAAGGAACAACTATTACCTGCTGCAGCCAATTGTATTTTAGATACATCATTAGCATTAAACTTCTCTACACCTATCCCTAATTCCTTGGGTCCCTTACCTCTGGTGATCCTAGAAAAAGAAGTGCAAGGTCTGTTTCAAAAACAAAAGATTGGAAAAGCTCCAGGTCCAGATGATGTGACCACCTCGTGTTTGAAACCTTGTGTTGAACAACTGGCCCCCGTTTTCAAGCCTATTTTTTATAAAAGGGTGGGGAAGGGTGTTGGGCCTGTTTGGT